AAATGAGACTATTCGGAATACTGTATCTTTACTATGAACAGAGTTACGAGACAAAAACCGTCTTAGCTTCACGGATTATAACTTTGTTCAAAGACAAGATACAGTATTCCAAATAAGATCATTTTGTAGTACTCGTTGAGCTCTATCATATCCAATTCAGTAGACAGAAAAATATTGATCCTATAAGAAATTATGGCAGGCTTTGATTTGAGTATGATTTTTAGTCTTATCGGGTAGTGACATTGGATTCAAAATGAAAATTCAAAGGATTCGAAAACCCAGAAACCACGAAAACGAAATCTCTTCTTTGCGAAATCATTACACCCTATCAGATCGAGGTAAACGTGATTCCATCTAATTCTTCTATCTCTCACATATCGGTCAGCAGTCGATTTTTGTTTTAATCGAATTTCAAACATAAAGTCATGAAACCTTTCGTTATCGATAAGTGAAAAGAACCCTTTCTGATAACATATGAAGTCTTTGATTTGGGAAGGAGCAGAAACTACTAGAAAAATGAGTTAGTTGATGGAGTGACCGGAACAAGGTGGAAACAGAAATGTATTGAATTGAGCTAATCAAGTGCTGCAGCAGTGACTTGTTGATCAAGGATTATTAAACCTATTTCGGGCATCCGAATTCCTACCAAATCGACAATTTTCTATAGAAGCAGATGACAAAATTTGCAGCTCAAAATCTAAAACTTCTACTTACCTTCTCCATTTTCCTAGAAACCCAGTTATTCTAGTGGCGAATAAATAGCGCGAACGTGTGTGTATGACCGAATATAAGCAAAGTGATGATTTGGGGGTTTCTGTCGCGGTGTATGCAACCTGTCTCTTTTTCTCTTTCTAGGTAGGAAGGTGGAGGAAAACGATGATCGAAGAACTGTGTGAAAAAAGAGAGGAGACCACGCGAGGTGGAGGGCAGCAGCAAATGTACAGTACGAGAGAGAAAGAAATTGGAGAGAATGTCAATAGGAAGAAGGAAAAGAAAAGAAGAAGAAGAACCAATTCAAACAGAACACACACTCTCCGTACACTTTGCCAACAATTGTACAGTATCATTGGACTGGGCGATTGAAGGAACTAAAACCCATTTGGAGCGAGAGTAAATAGAGAAAAGAGAGGAATAGAGGATGAAAGAGCTACCTTAAAACTTGTAATAAAAGCGCCCCCATACTGTCAAATTTGAGCTCAATTATCTCGATTCCTGTAAAGGATATCAAAATTATCAAAATTTTGTCAACTGATAAATTATTTATCATAATATCACTAACATTTTATCAGTTGACAGATTTTGGATATCTCTCATAGGAACCGAGATAAATGAGCTCAAACTTGATAGTGTGGGGGCTCTTCTATTACAGGTTTTACGGTCTATGAATCAGTTAGATGGTCAGAAAGTGGTTATCTCATAAAAAAAGCCTTGTAAGTTTAACAATTTGGTCAAAATCCAATTTTTTTGAATTTGGCTCCAAAATGCGGGAATCACAATTTAATAAAGCAAAACAATGTGTCTCAACTTAAGCCTGAAATTTTTACAAAAAAGACTGAAAAAAATGCAAAAAAGCTGCTGATTTTCGCCAATTTAGCACTTTTTGAACTGGTGTTTTCTGATTAAAACATAATAAGCTTAAGCTAAAACGCCTTATTTTCCTTGACTGTGTCATTCGAAAAATGGCGCTAAACTCAAAAAAATTGAGTTCTTTTCTAGCAAAACTAGCAAAAACTTGACCGCCAATCTTGCCTATATTATCACCAGCAAATCTAAATAACACCTGCTGATCGTCATGGAAAACAAAAACAAGATCACCATTGATTTTTTTTTTCGTTCATTTGAAGAGACTACAGACAGTGAAACTTTGTTAACTGAACATGCTGGCAACGTAATGTTGACCAGATATTCTATTTCGGATCAACGAGGAGAGAGACATGAAGGAAGAGAGACTAAACAGGCGTGACAGTGGCAGAGAATTGATGGAGAATCGCACTATTAGTCGCACTATTACTATGAAGGTCGTTAAGAGAATTCTAAGATTTGGAACTAAGTCTAATACTCACTTCGCCTTCTGCCATTTGAGGTATTCGGCTTTGCAGCTCTCTGCTTGCTCTTCAGGATCTGAAATAGTTCTATTTCGGAAAAAAAGTTCTAAAAACCCTTAATACCTCTCCAAGCACAATCTGTCTGACAGAATCGAATGGGATATCCTCTCTGGATACTTTCACCGGGCTTACTGTAGAGAGCATCTCGAATGCGGCATCTTCGAAAGTCTTGGTCGGATCATGCGTATGATGGTCCGGTTTTGAATGATCTCTCATGATTAGGGGGTTATTGATACATTCGCTGCTTGTAGCTGAAAAATAATTAGAGGGTATTAATACTTGTAGATTTTGACAAATACGAAGCGAGAGAAAAAGATTTTAAGCTAAAAAAAAATAAAAAAATAACGAAATGAAGATGATTGAAAAACAACAAAGATCCTTGAAAGATTGGTGGAATTCACTTTTTCCCAATCAAAATTGAGTTTATCCGAGTGGAGTACACCGAATATATAGCTTGAAAGATGCTAATCAGGTAAAATTGGGTGGAAAACTAATTAGAATGTATCAAGATACTTGGAAAAGATAAGCGCGGTGAAATAGACAAATTGGTGAATCCGGTGATGAATTTCGCGGAGAAAAGGGAGATTGATAGGTGCGGGGATGGGATTCGAGAATAATTTATGCGAAAATACAAGATTAAATCGATAAGAAAGCATTTATCTTCGAATGGAATTCCGGAAAAAATATTTCCGAATTTTTTTCTCGAAAGTACAGTATGTCAAAGGCGCATGCGAAAAAGTTTACTTGCAGACCTCGAGCGGAATTAATTGTATAATTTTCCTGCGTTTTCACATTTTGTGATGAGAAAATGCGATTCCTACTTTAATATTTGAATTTAAAAAGTTTCGAAATTTCAAAAAAATCAAAATCAGAATACTCCGAAATTCTAAACATTGATATATTCGTCTCACCTCTGTGAGAAGCTTAGTGTTAGCTAAATAAGCCAAACGTTGAGAAAAATATGCATAATCCCTCTTAAAAACGGATGTGCACTTTTTCATTTCCCAGCTCAGAGCGCTTGCACTATTCTCTCTATTACCCACGAAATTTCGTAGTATTTTTCATTTATCACTGGTTTCCGCTATATTCGTACTAGTTGTATATACGAAGCATTCTGGTCTCCCTTGATAACTCTAATGAGAATTCTAGGTTTGTTACTAAAATTTGAGCATATGAGGAAGCTAGGAACATTTATTAAACTTCAAAGTATTCCTAAATTGAGCATGATAATCAGGCTCAACGGCTGATTTCCTGCCATCTGAGCAAAGTCTGTCTAGTTCAAAGCCTAAAAAACAAATCAAACTACAAATTATAGGTGTGTATCAGAATAGAAGTGTTGTTCATAACATAACGCAGAATTCATTGAATTTATGTCTGGAGAGAAGAGGAAGAAGGAAGCATGGTGAAGTGAGAGGAGCGATGTTGTGGTGAAGGGTGTAGACTTCATCGGGAAGCGAAGCGAGAGAGAGAGTGGTCAAAACAACAGAGACGCAGACATCAAGAGATGGACCGCACCCAGTTGGTGCCGGTCACCTAGAGGAGAATGGAATTGAGAGACAGAGAGGGAGACGGACACACGGAATGAAAATAGCCAAGGCGTTGGGGAGAATAGTAGGGAGGAAGAGAGTAAACGGGATGGGACGGCGACGCCTGGAGGAAGGGGGGTCACAACAGAACCTTCCGAGAGCAACAATCCGAACGAAGAGAGCAAGAATTATTATAAAATGTCGTTTGGATGAAGGGAGGAGGGAAAAATTCGGAAGTTGGACACGATTTTAGTCAGAAAGAAACCTATTTTTCTGTTGATTGTCGTTCATTTTCAGGAGTCTAGCGCTCGTCTGTCAGGCTTCCGATCACATTGAAAAATTTGGAGGTTATAAAACAGACCTAGCTTGAAAACTTTGCATTCACAGAATTTTTTGAAAATTCCTAGTTTTCTTTCGATTCCTTAAAGACACCTATTTTTCACATTTTAAGTACAAAAACAGTCTAAAATGGGTGTATTTCAGAAATCGACAATTAGAGGAATTTTCGAAAAAAATTCTGTGAATGCAAAGTTTTCAATCTCGGTATGTTTCACATCCTCCAGAATTTTCAAAGTGATCGGAAACCTGACAGCCAAGCTCCGGAGTCTTGAAAATGGTAAAAATTGCCGAAAATTAACTGAAAGATACGTTCGTACTGTATATTTATAAAACTTTCGTATTTTCAGCTGAATCACAAGTGTGTCTGTGTTCCAGTTTGAAGTAACCAAATGTTTGAAGTGGTAAAAAGTAGGCTGAAAATAGCAAAGAAGGAGAAACCCAATTTTTTATAGAGAAGAAAAAATAAAATTGAAGAATCAGCCAACAATTGAAATGAGATAACCCTAAAATTTCGGAGGATTTCGATATAAATTTCAAACCATCTGTTCAGTGAGCGGGTGCGCGAAACCGAAACCAGGCTAATGCCCTAATTCCTAGCCTACCGCATATAGAAGCAGATATTTGTGCCAGATGGCTTTTATGGACCCGATTTTTGAGTGAAAAATTGTGAAAAATGAACCGAAATATAAAACTTTGGTGGAAAGAAGAGAAGTAGGCTAGAAACCAACACCGCCGCTGCGTCGTTTTGAATACATGCAAAGACGTATATAACTATGCATACAACACCAATTCGTCCTTCTCTTTCTCTCTCTTTTCCACTCTCCGTTCCCTCCTCCGTTCCCTTCTCATTCATTCAGCTATTACCAGAGCGGTCATCTCTTCTCTCGAACGACCTCGATTTCGGAATCAATCTCTCAATGCCTCTGTGTGTCTTTTTGCCGATTTCCCTCATTTTTTTTCAAAAAAAAAACCCAATAAAAACTTCTGCTTTTATATTAAAATGTGACGCTGTGATTCATAAATATACACTAACAAATTTTAGTAATATACACTAACAAATTTTAGTGGACAACTAACAAGGGGCGTTGTGAAAAATACAAATTTCCCCCTATTTTTGGCTTGACCAGGGAACAGCCGGCTGTAGATAACCGAGAAGAGAGACGCAGAAGCCGAAACGGCGACTTGGCATTCTGCCAAGACTTTGTTGACCCAGTAATTAGGAACAAACATAGGCAAATAGGGGATGAAAAGAGGAGTGACATTGGAACCTGCGGGGGATTATGAAGTCGAACCAACAATTTTTTTTAGACAGAGCACGCTCTCCCACAGAACAATTCCGAACTGCAAATTAATTTTTGATCTACAGAAAAAAATTTGGCGCGATCACAATTGCAGGTCTAAAACCATAATTTCAGAATTTTTTATCTGATTTTGTGGAGTTCCAAGATGATTCAAATGATTCTTAAAAATTAATTAGTGGTTATAGATTCATGTATGGTCGTTTTCCGGAAGAAAACATGTCAAAAATGGTCATTTTTTAAAGTTTTTTACAGAAAAAATCTATCTCCTCTTTCATTTTTTTACATTTCTAGGAGTTCTATATTTCAAAAAAACCGCAATTATTTTCTCTACATTTTCTATGGATGACTTTTTAATTTGTCATTTTTAATTTGACAAAACTTTTTTTATAATCAAAAAACAACTCAAAAATTTTGTGCAATTTCATGAGGTTTTTGAATTATAAAAAAAGTTTTATCAGACAAATCAAAAATTCATCCATAGAAAATGTAGAGAAAATAATTGCGGTTTTTTTTTTGAGCTATAGAACTCCTAGAAATGTCAAAAACTGAAAGAGGAGATAGATTTTTTCTGTAAAAAACTTTCAAAAATGACCATTTTTGACATGTTTTCTTCCGGAAAACGACCATACATGAATCTATAACCACTAATTAATTTTTTAAGAATCATTTGAATCATCTTGGAACTCCACAAAATCAGATTAAAAATTCTGAAATTATGGTTTTAGACCTGCAATTGTGATCGCGCCAAACTTTTTTTCTGTAGATCAAAAATTAATTTGCAGTTCGGAATTGTTCTGTGGGAGAGCGTGCAGAGAGGGATTCATGAAGCAAAAAAAGTAAATATACGGAATGAAGATTTTATAGCAAAAAAAATAATGCTGAAACTTTGTCAAAAAATAAATAAAAAATTTAAAAACAGGTTGATTTTGAGCTCTTCCAAATCAAAATCGAGTTTGTCCAAGTGGAGTACACCAAACGCAAGCATCGGATTCGACGGGAAGTTGCGGACTACAGTAATCCAGGAAAAATATTTTGTGAACGATTTCCAGCGAAATTCAGAAGCGATAAGTGCAATTATAAGTGCTGGAAAAGCCGGAAAAGCTATTATTATTGAAGAAAAAAACAAAAATAAGGATGAAAGATTATTCTGGCCCAAAATCGGTGTTGCGGAAGAGGTTGCCGTGTCCGAAGGTCCTGCAACGAAAACTACCGTAACCTGAAAAGTCAACGATTTTTAGCGATTTTTCCTCCGCTTTTTTGCAAAATTTTTAGATCTTTTCAGGTTTAGGTTTTTCAGCTATTTTCAAAGATTCTTTTCCGGTTTTCCCGGTTTTTGTAGTGTGAAATTTAATGAAACGGTTTCTGATTACTGTAGATTACTGTAGAAAGCTAAGCTAAATTTCTTTTGTATTTTTTTTGTGCAAGCACAATCAAGTCAATTTTTGCGTGATTTTTTTGTAAGAAAAAACTGTAAACTACGAGGTTTTCTACAGTAATCTACAGTCTTCCGTCAAGAACACCCAAATTTCAGACAACAAAAACCGGAAAAATCGAAAAAGAATCTTCAAAAACAGCTAAAAAACCTGAAAAGGTCTAAAAATATTGCGAAAAATCGAAGAAAAAAAATCTTTTTTTTTCATTTTCAGGATTTATTTTCTCGATTTTCGTGCAGTTTTCGTATATTTTATCATTATGAAAACCTTGAATTTTACGCATTTCTGGGAAAAAATTATATCGGAAATTCAGTGAAAAACGAGAAAATTAACACGCGAAACATATTTTTAGGTTACTGTAGTTGTCGTTGTGGGACCTTCCGCGTCCACTACCGGCTTTGAAAAAGATTTTAAATATAAATAAGAATCTAAGTTTTCAATTATTTGATTTACATTTTCTATGGTTACAAATCATCAGCCTCCTGAGAAATGTTCCGAAGACAAATAAAACATTGGAAATCATGAACCTGTGAATACCAGATAAATAAGATAATGAAGCAGTAAAAAAATTGGGGACAAATGAATATTTTTCAGATCAATAATCAACTTTTCAGGTTCATTTTTTCTCGAGTTCGCAGAGAATTTCATAGAGTAATTCTGTTTGTTTTGTCTGTGAAATTTGAAAATCCCGAGCATCAACTTTGCGCTAGTTTATCTTCATTTCTGTAAAAGATGTCAAAAAGTGGTCAATTAACAAAATGTTTATCATAACATCACCAATATTTTATTATTTGATAGATTTTTGATATGCTTGATCCAAAGAACTTTTTTCTCATTTCCTTTTTTAATTTTCCCTTTTTGCAACACAAATTTGGATGTTTGACAAGCGGCGCGGCGCCTAATCAGGAATTATTTGGTTGTGTGATAAAAGAGAGGGAGAGAGTACCTTCTCCTTATCAAAATTTGCTTGATTCTCGTCCCGTAAATTGAGAGAAGAAAGAGCACGAAAAAGAGTTGCCATTCTCTCTTCTCCCAATAATCACCCCCACTGATATTGTTATCAGCCAGAAGAAAAGTGGACAGTTTTCGATTTTTCCTTCTTGAGCAAAATTTCTCCTAATTCATCGCACCCCCACCAAATTGATTTTGTTCTTTCCCTTTTTGATTGGTTAGGAATTTTCTAGAATTTTCAGAACTAGAACATTTTGAGAAGCAAAATCTTTTTATTGCAAATTCGTTCCATGTTACAGTACCGGTCAACAAAATCTACGAAAAACATACTTTTCAGGTTGATTTTTGACCATTTTCAGGAGTCTAGAGCTCGAGTTTCAAGTTTCAGACCACTTTGAAATTTTCAGAGGGTCTAAAACAGATCTAGATTTGAAACTTTACATTCACAGAACTTTTAGAGAATTTCTAGGTTTCTAAAGTTATTTATATTTCACAAACATGAACAACATTTTGAGCCAAAAATCAACAAAATCGGAGCACAGAGCCGAGATACAGCCATTTGAAGTTTAGGAGGTTAGAGACGCAGTGTGTCTCGTCGTCTGCGTCTCTAACCTTGGGAACTTGGGCCAAAAGGAGGGTGTCTTTAAGAATTTACTAAAAAACTAGGAATTTTCGAAAAATTCTGTATATGCAAAGTTTTCAATATAGGTCTGTTTTAAATCCTCCAAAATTTTCAAAGTGATCGGAAACTTTACAGCCTAGCTCCAGGCTCCTGAAAATGAAAATCAAACTATAAATACGTTTTTAATACTTTATTAACCGGTGCTGTACCTAGACTATAGGATTTGTAGGATCTAGAAAGGCTTTTTAAGATTACTGTACTTTTGCAGAAGAATGACATCTTCTCTCTACACGGGTGGTCAGGCTCTGTTCATCTGTTTGGCCTTTATTGGTTTGGATGTTTTGGTCAATGTTTTTGGACTCGCCTGGAATGGAAAAGTTGTTTTTCTTGTTTAAAAATGATCTCTTATTTTAAATTTCCAGTACTTTACATTCGCCAACATTGCTCATTGGTTCGACTTGGCGAATTATAGTTTTTTGAAGAATCCAGTAGATTTCTTGGCTGTGGCTTTGATTCGTGACAGTATTCTTTTGGGTGGAGCTGTTTCTGCATGGGCGTCTCCGTCCGGATTCTCACAAGTTGCTGAAAATGTCAAGTATAATACTGTAAACAGGGCCGCCAGGCCCGCCAACTTTGAGCCCATTTATCTCGGTTCCTGTAAAAGATATCAAACAGTGGTCAACTGACAAAATGTTAATTATAATATCACAAATATTTTGTTAGTTAATCACTTTTTGATATATTATACAGGAACCGAGATAATTGAGCTCAAAGGGCAAGTATGCAAGTAGGGTGACCTTCTATTGAAGTGTTTAAAAAACAATAACTCGCGGTTTTTCCAGAAACGTCGTCTTCGCTGCTATGCTCCTCATCGTCGCTTTTGCCCCATCGAAACTTCTTGCCTTCTATGAAGATGACAATATTCGTCTCGCAGTTGGAGACTGGATTCTCATGATTTGGTGTATATTTGCATCCCTTCTACTTCAAGGAATTTGGACTTCTGTTCTAACGCATGTCACTGAAGTTGCAGCTGGAACTGGAGATTCCCTCCTTTTCGGAGACGCTGAGCACGAGGAAAGACTCCGACAGGAAGAGGCTGAAAAGGCTGCAGAGCAAAGGGAAACTTTCCAGCTTTTATACAGACTTCTTGGTTATATGGGAAGACAGTGGAAGTACTACGGAATGGCATTCTTTTTCCTTTTCTGTTACTCGTTGAGTAAGTTATAATACAAAAAAGAAAAAAAAAACAAAAGTGTTAGTAGCCATCATACATTTCTGTCATCATGATTCATCAAGAGTAGCAAATAAACCTAAATCATATGGCGTGAGAGTTGAACTGAGAGTGGTTGACTGGCGCTCGTTGGCGCTAGCCACTACGCTACGAGTGTAACAGCAGCAAGAGGCGAATCATGCTAGTTATGAAAGAGGGTGGGATGGGGGAAAAGGGGAGAAGAAGGGAGGGAGGAGGGCAAGGAGAAGAGGAAGAGAGAGTGTATTAGAGCGTTTGAAGAAAAGAAACAGTTCAGGTCGTGTCTTCATTCCATATTACACTGGAGAAGTTGTCACTGCTGTCTTCGGAGATAAAGCTTCTTATGAACGTCTTCACAGAACCGTTCTTATTATGGGACTTCTCTCCTTGGCTTCGTGAGTAATTAAAGAGAAAGATTCATACCAATTTTGAATGTTTAGAACTGTTTTCGGAGGTCTCCGTGGAGGTTCCTTCACTTATGCTCATGCTACCATTGATAGACAAATCCGTAACGACTTGTTCCGTTCAGTTGTGAAGCAGGAGATTGGGTTCTTCGACATGAACAAGACTGGTTGGTTTGGAAATAAGGGATTTCATAATTTTGGAAAATTCTAGGAGAAATTTGCTCGAGATTGTCTGCTGATTGTCAGACTATGTCCAACACTTTGTCACTTTATATGAATGTGCTTACCAGGTAAAATAAGGATACGGTTTTAGGCGGTTTTCTTGTTTTGGGAGTTAAGATAATATCAATTGGTGTCCAAAGTCAGCCAACTTTTTAACATGTCCGCGTTTCTAAATATTCCCATCGAACAGCCTGGAAAACTTCGAAAAAATCACTGTTACGATATTTTTAAAAGAAAGACACATGTACCGTAAAACCTGTAATAGAAGGGCCCTCATACTGTCACGGTTGAGCTAATTTATCTCGGTTCCTTTGAGAGATATTGAAAATGTGTTGACATAAAATGTTACTGATATGTATTATGACAAACCAAAAATTTTTATCAGTCGACAGACTTTTGATGTCTCTCACAGTAATCAAGTTGAATTGGCTCAAAGTTAAGCGTTGAGGGGCTCATTTAATACAGGTTTTAATGTAAATCCATTAATCATTGGTGATAGATCTGTTAAAATAAGTCACTTTGATTTTTCCTAACACCGAACAGACAGTTTTGGGAGAAAATCACACAGCATTTCATATCTTAAGTTTCAAAAACTTGAAGTTCAGCATTTTATAATCTTAAATAACTAACTGTTTCAAATTTGATGTTAAAAACTTCAATATTTTTTCTTTTGCTCGAAGTTTAAATATTTCCATAATACACAATTTCAGAAACTTGACAATGCTCTTCGGATCGCTGATTTTCATGTTCACATTGTCTTGGAAGTTATCAATGATCACTTTAATCAATATTCCAATTATTTTCTTGGTCAACAAGATTTTCGGTGTTTGGTATGATGTGAGTTTTTTCGAGATTTACGATATTGAAATTTTTCCGTTTCACAAATTTTTGTATAGAAATATGATGGAAAGGAAGTTTGCTAATGTTTTAGTAGATACCGAAAAATTTTAAGATGCTTTCCGAAGAGACTCAAAACTCTGTTGCCAAGGCGAATGACGTGGCAGAAGAGGTTCTCTCATCCATCCGAACCGTCAAGTCTTTTGCTTGCGAGAATTATGAATCCAGCAGGTATGTTTACAGTGTCATCCTTCCCATCTAATCTATTTTCTACAGATTCATGACTTTCCTGAACGTCACCTTGAAAATTGCAACTCGTAAAGTGTTCGTTGTCATTGGACTCATTTGGTCTAATGAAGTAAGTTTTGGAACTTTCTACAGTAATCCATACAGTAACCATTTTAGCTTCTTCAAATGGGAATTCTTACTATTGTTCTGTGGTATGGAGGACATTTGGTTATTGATGGAAAAGTTGAATCTGGACTTTTGGTTTCGTTCCTTTTGTATCAATTCCAATTGGGAGAGAATTTGAGAGTGAGTTTGGGGGAAAAATGAAAATTTTCCGGTGAAAGTATTATAAAAGTATTAGGGTGGGGAGAAAGTTTTTTTCCGAAATTTTTTAGGTTTTTGTTTCCTAATTATCTTCAATTTCTTTAACGATCCATCAACGATGTAATCATCATTAGTGACTACAACTGTGGGTTACCTATTAGGAAGTTACTCGATTCCAGTCTTCCAGAATAGGGGCGTGTGAGAGTGAAAAAAGACGATCACTACCATTTTGAGTGGGTTCATTGATTTGAACTGTTTCTCTCTGAGGAACTGCTTGAGCAGGCGGAACAAGTGATAATCCGAAAGCGCAATGTCTGGCGAGTATTTCAGATAAGAAACCGTAGTTCCGCCCGGCTTCTGCAGTTTGGCCTGGGTGTCTTTAGTCGTACGAGGGCGAGGAATATCACGTAGAAGGTGAACGGTGAAGCGTCCCGAGCGTTTCTCTCGGGGGGCAAGGGCAAGGGAAGCCAACTGATACTTGTAGGTGGAAGCTGAGGTTAATGTTCCTTGCGGGATCAACTCGAAAAACAACAATCTCTTCTAATCCCAGAAGCAGGCAAGCAGAAACTTTTTCTCAAGAAATCCTGGTTTCGGTTGCACTTAGCGGGTCCTCATCGCGAGGAATTCAAATACAATAATGGGTGACATTATTGTAGAGTATCCAGCTCTTATCTACTGTGAAAAAGTCGGCCAGAAACTCTTCCCTCTGTGGAGTAAGGAAGATAGACTCATTCGAGTCAGTTTCTGAAATGAAGAGAGATCATGAGGTATACTTTGAGCCGTCACTCTTCGGAAACTAAGCATGTAGACATGATTGTTGATGATGTGGTAGTTACAGTGGAACATTCTCTACAATTCGTGAATAATCCTATCGGGCTTCTCCATCACGGCTTCAAGCAGCAGCTCGTCAAACTCAGCAGGTTTTGGATAGTACGTGTGTTATCTACGACGCTCGTGTCTCCTAACTCAAAAGAACCAAACCAATTGTGGACAGTGCAATCGGTGAGGGTCCTCTCTCCAAGCACTTGGCATATTTTCTTAGCGATCTCCGTCGCCCCTGTGCCGTGAGAAAAAACTTGTAGAAAAAAACTTGTAGAAGATGAGGAGCCTAACTCGAGGTCGCGAGAGATCGCTCATAGAGATTTTACCAGTGGGCAAGAGCGCCTTATATAGACATGAGGGAGAAGCTTTCACGACGTTCTACACTAATATACACTAGAAAAGTTCTAGAAACTCAGGGACTTCCCATGGGAAAAATTTGAAAATTTTCGGAATAAACTTTCTCCCCACCCTAATAGTTGTCTCAAACTTGTCAAAGATATTTCGTTTACACAGTGAATTTTCATTATCCCAATTGAAAACAAATGTCGTTATTGAAACAGTAATATAATCTTTTAGGAACTCGGAGAAGTGTGGAACGGATTGATGCAAGCCGTCGGAGCATCCAGAAAAGTCTTTGAATTCATTGATCGTCCACCACGTGTCGAGAACACTGGAACCTATGCACCAGACTCAATGACCGGAAAGATTGAATTCCGTCACGTGGCATTCAGTTATCCAATTCGACCAGATCTTCCGATTATGGAGGATTTAACATTCACAGTTGAGCCAGGAGAGGTTGTCGCTTTGGTTGGACCATCTGGTGGTGGAAAATCGTCTTGTATTGCAATGTTGGAGCATTTCTATGAGCCAACCAGTGGAGAAGTTTTGATTGATGGAGTTCCCGTTAGGTAGGTTTCAAAAAATGAGCCAAGGAGACATTTTACTTTATATGTATATTTTTTTCAGAGAATACGATCACAAGTTCCTCCACACAAAAGTTGCTCTCGTTGGTCAAGAACCAGTTCTCTATGCTCGATCGGTCACTGAAAATATTGGATATGGATTGGACAAATATGATGACGATATGGTGCAAAAAGTGAGTTCAAAAAATACTGTTTCTAAAAACTTATTTCCAAACTTCAAAATTCTAAAATTTGATTGAACAAGAAATGGTAATTTCAGTCAGCCAAACTTGCCAACGCTCACACCTTCATTATGAATGATACCACTGATGGATACAATACAAATGTTGGAGAGAAAGGAAGTCAAATGTCAGGTACCGTTAATTAAAATTCTGGAAGCAATTGAGTCATCAGAAAGTCAAAATGTTCTAGGGCTTTTAACGTGTGGAAGTTATGATTGGACAGTTTTCAAAATATTCCTACTTTAATGCAAAAAACTAATGTTACTATGACGAAACATGAGTAATACAGTTTTTATATGGTATTCCTTGAAAACCACTGGAACAGAAAATAATTTTTTCAAGAAATTAAAATTTTGCAGGAGGTCAGAAACAAAGAATCGCCATTGCCCGTGCTCTCGTTCGCCAGCCAGTTGTTCTTCTTTTGGATGAAGCCACTTCGGCATTGGATGCTGAATCTGAGCATACTGTAAGTTTCAATTTGCATCGAAATATTCCGAAAATATCTTTTTCAGGTACAAGAAGCGATTTCGAAGAATTTGAAGGGAAAGACTGTCATTTTGATTGCTCATCGATTGTCGACTGTCGAGAATGCGGATAAGATTGTGGTTATTAATAAGGTAAGAATCGAAAAAAGGAAACATGTATCTTCTGTTTCATAATACTTGTTTTAGAAATTAAAAAAGCTTTTTACTAGTGGAAGGTGGTTTGTCATCGCCATAAAATCGGTTATATTGTAATTCACCCAAAATTGCATAAGTTTTTGCATGAGAAGATATTTCTCGATTTCAAAAAGTTTACAAATATTATGTCGTTACTAAAAGTTTCAATTCAATTGTGTTTCCCTATCTTTCGTTTCTTAATTTTTACATTAAATCAACTCAAGTATTAAATTTTTGAGCTCATTTTCGAAAAAAAAAACTCTTGCGATCTCAGTGATCTAGATTCAATGATAGGTTCTTCCATTTCAGAAAATTCCTGTAGTTTCAGTCATATCTTTTTGCATTTTCTTTAATAAAATTCATTGAATTTCCAGGGAAAAGTGGAACAATTGGGAAATCACAAGACACTAATGGAACAAGAAGGACTCTACAAACAACTGGTTCAACGTCAAATGATGAGTGGAGAAGATGGTTTGGATGATGAGATCGAAGAAGTCGAACCAATTCGTGATGGAGCAGGATCCGGAAGAAGCACAAGAGCCGGAGCACGTCGAATTAGAAGTCCATCTCAATCAATCAGTCAGTCCTTCTTGGGTACTTCTTTTGCCAGTAGCTATTTGTAAAAGAATTAGTATTAGTATTTGTAGAATGACTCATGAACTGATCTATTTTTTATCTGTTGAGTGCATTTATTCTTTTCTTTTTTCTCTGGTTTGTTTCTGCGGTTTTCCAATAAACGATTGTTTTTAACAAATATCGAAGCCTGCAAACTAAATAGAACCGATTTTTGCATTTCATATGCAAGGTTTGAAACAGTTGTTTCTTGGTACTGTAATTTTTTATCAAAAATAGATCAGTTGAACCTTTTTAGAGTCCCTTCACTTTGACCGTTGGTACTGTAGCCCTCATATGCAACAAATCTGCTGATCTTCTTAGAACCTCCTCACACTTTATTCCAGACGTCCCTTCTGGGAAAATAGGTCCGTTGGTATGTGAAGGTGGTAGATGTTTCAAATGATGACAATGAACAATATAAAACTGACTGGAATGATGAGGTGAAGATGGTTTAGTGTCTACCATTGATCGCTATCTCAAAGGTTATAGGATTTTCGAAATGTTTCGTCTAAATGTTGAAAAACTAACATGAGACGAGCCAATTGAATGCATTAAAGTTGAATCGAACTCCTAGAGATAGAAACATGAGAAACCGAAAAAACGTTCGGAGGTTGCAGTCTGCTAGTACTGGAAAAACTATCTGTTTCAATAACCACCCTTTTTTTGTCGCTTCAAATTAGTGCGCTATGGTCAGAACAATTCGAGTTTTCCAAACAAACGCTGATTGTGCTTTATTTTGCTAATTGACACATTTTCTTTAGAAATTCATCAACATTAGCCATGTCGTTTGTAATCCAGAATATCTTTACAACTTGATCAATGAGGTTCTCTGTGGCCAAACTGATTACAAAATAGCCCAAACACTTTCGACTTGTTTACTACTCGAAACAGTACAATTTCCTGTTAGAGAATATAAATAATTTTAGATCCCAACAGTTTATTAATTGGTGTCTCAGAGGTAGTAGAAGTTTCAAAAATTTTCGTTTCAATGATTTAAATTCAGAAAGAAGAGCTCACTTTGAGGAAAATGATATAAACGAAAGTGAAATGAAGAATTAATATCTGCAGCAAACCTTCAAACCTTCCCTGTTTCCTGAAACACATTTTTTTTCGAAGTGTATTTTTTGATTGGTAGATAAAAACTACTTTGCCAACATGGGTGAGAACCAGCTCCTTTTACTATTTTTCATGTATCTCTGATCTGAAACTCGAAACTAAAGTTAATTTTTATAAACTCTTTAAACTTCATAAATTGCATTGTCTTCTAATAGTTAGATTTGCGCAGCGTCATGTTTCTTTATAAGTCCACAGAAATGTACGTCAACCCAATTTTACGGTAGACAAGTTATGAAAAATCAGCCCCTATGGTAATTTTTAATTTTAAACCGAATAGTGTTTTCAAAAATTTTCTAGCTTCTTCACTTTTGGCTGTAAATAGCTTCACCTGTGATTTCTTCCTAGGAGCACGCTAACCCTCCCAGGCAGACATCCAGACGACGAGATATTGTGGGCGGGGCAAGTCTGCGGGCCACTAAGTCCCGCCTCCAGCCTATATAAGGAACTCAAAAATTGTCATTCATTACCCAGTCATCTCGACTAGCTCTCTCTTATTGTCTCACTTATTCTCTCTAACTATGATGTTCGATTTCCGTTCTCTTATGGCTGAAATCCATGGAGTCAAACTCGAAGAAGACAACATTGGAATCAAGAAGCGCGTGAGAGCTTCTGCTCAATATCTTCGAAACGAAACGGATCTCTTCCTGGAGCACAGTATTGAAATTCAAGGAGAGAATCCAGAACGTCCTCGTCTTCCAATGTGGTTCACAATTGCTTTCAATGAACTCAAATCGGAAATTCAATCAATCATCAGGATTCTCTACTCAACATGTTTCCACGTATGACCCAAATGGGATTGCTCACTCAATTCGGAGAGAACGATGATTTCCCAAAACAAGGAGAGAATGGATTATTGGAGGAGGATCATAATACATTGGAATACCAAATTCATCAATTCTTGAAAGATGTGACTGTGTATGTTTGGAATGCTCATGTCTTCACAAAACAAGTCAAGGATCTTCCAAAAGTCTACTTCATCACTCTCGATTATTTCAAAAGAAAAGCCGAATCGGAAGAAATGAAACATCTCGTCCAAATGGTTCCAATCCTTCTTCAAACCTACATTCAACACTTTGTCGGAATTCAAAACATCGGAATCGACTACGTTCAACGATGCACTTTCCACCACAATCAATGGATCACATCTTTCGATAATTAATTTAACTTTCTTATTCTTTCCTTCATTTACATGTTCTTCTTAATAGCTGTTTTCCTAATAAATGTAATAATTTCAAACCGTTTTCTGTTATGACTACTAGTTACAAATGCTATTAAAACGAATACGCAAGATAGGAGATGTCATAAAATCTGACAGGTTATTGATCCGTAAACAGTATACTACTGAGTTTATGGCCCCTTCACATTGTCATCATTCCTGTTAACGAGATATTTTTATGGTCATCATTTGGAACATCTGCCACCTTCACATACTAACAAACTTATTTTCCCAGAAGCTATGTTTGAAACAGAGAATTCATTTTTTTAAAGGTGGTGTGCGGTGAAAAATTTTATTGCTTTATTTTGTGTAGAAAGCCATGTAGATTCCCATAAAAATATAGAAAAAAATCCTTCATTGAGAAAAACGGCATCGAAAAGTCAAAGTGGGAACCGGTGGCCTAACGGCCAGGTGTGAGTTTTCTAGGCCAATTGCCGGTAAAAGCGCGCGAAATTCGAATTTTTGTTGATTTTCAGTGTTTTCTCAGATGATTTTTAAAGATTTGAAAATTTTTTTGTTTATTTCCTCCTAGGTGTATGAAAAAACCTGACAAAAATCGGAGAAAACCTGAAAATCATTAAAAAATTTTCGAATTTCGCGCGCTTTTACCGGCAGTTGGCCTAGAAAACTCTCACCTGGCCGCTAGGCCTCCGGTTCCCTCTTTGACTTTTCGATGCCGTTTTTCTCAACGAAGAAATTTTTTTAAAATTTTTTTTATTTTTATGGGAATCTATATGGTTTTCTGCACAAAATAAAGCAATAAAACTTTTCACCGCACACCACCTTTAAAGTTCAGTTTTTTCCAAAATTTCTTGTCGGATGCTTTGTTTACCAATTTATGAATCGGTTGTTTTGAAAAACATTTCTAGGTAGAATAGTGCAGAATCACCGTCCCTCATTACTTTCAAAATAAATCACTCCAAATACACAAATGTCTGAAACGGGAATAATTTGATTGTTTTTTTTGTAGGTTTTCTGAACCACAATTATTGGAAATTCTGGTCCAAATGACTCACTGGAAGATTTTTTTCACCGAAAATTTGAATTCCAGCCAAAAATATTCGATCCCTTTTTATTTCGAACTACTCCACCATCACTCTCTATTTGTCTGTTTTAATCTAAAACCCAAACAAACTTTTAATCTTAGAAAAAAAATCAGAAAAAGGCTGGTTAATTATGAAACGGTCGGATACTAATTCCATTTAAATATGTCTCTCTTTTTGTTTCGAAATGTATAATTAAAGAATTCGAAGAACAGTGTGCTAATCGAATTCGCATTTTCCATACAAAAGAAGGTCGTCTTCAGAAACATAAAGCAGAAAAAAACTGTTTCGGGTTTTTGGTTTAAACAATCATGAAGATTGACCCGGAATAGACGAGCTTTTCTATGATGAAATAACCAAATTTCGAAAAAAAACTCATACATTCTGAAGATATGAACAAATTAATGTTTATTAAATTTTTTTTAGCAGAATCGCAATCGTTTAGTAGTGATTAGTCAATGGAAATATGTTTCGATATAACGTACCAGAAATGGGCGAAAGTGTTTTAACAACGTAAAACATAACGATGGGACAACTGGAAAGCCTACGAGAACGGTTTGAAAATCACTCTGAAAATTACTGTCTCAAAAAATCTCATTTTTGTATCTTCGAAGTTTCGCCGAAAGGACAAAACTGATCGACGCCCATCAATGCGTTTTTGAATGAAAATTTGACTAACTCTTCTAAAATTTTTAGAACAGATTCTGCCGGAAAGAGACATGAATGCACTACCCCTTCAGAAATTTCAATATTTCTGAATTTTTTTTTGAAACAGAAAAGTTTTGAAAAAGTTTCAGAAAAAAAAAACCTACAGTAATTTACAGTAAGCTACAGTAATCAAACACCGTTCCATCAAATTTCAGACGATAAATTCGGAAAAAGCGGAAAAGAATCTTCAAAAATAGATGAAAAATCTAAAAAGGTCTAAAATTTTGCAAAAAATCGAAGAAAAAAAACTTTTTTTCCATTTTCTGGATTTATTTTTTCGATTTTCTGCAGTTTCTTTATATTTGAGCACTAACAAAAACGTCACTTTTCCGACTTGTTTGGGAGAAAGTAACATAAAAATCGACGAAAATCAGTGGACAAAAAGAGAAATTAAATCCCGGAAATAAACATATTCTTACAATTAGGTTACGGTAGTTGTCGTTGTGGGACCTTCGACTACGACCGACTGCGTTTCACTTCCACAGCTCAGGTTTTCAGCACCAGTATAATACTAGCAATACAATTTTTTTCATTTCGATGCAATTGTAGTAATTGAGAAACTGAAAAATAATTTTTTTCAATTATTTCTGTTTCAGCAAAGCTTGGAAAGTTTTCAGAGCAGTTTTCTACTAATCTAAAGAACGTAAACCGAAACATATACCGAACAAAAATATATTCCAATTAGCACTGAGAAATCGGAAATTAATTTTTCGAGTTATTTCCGATATCCACGAACATGGTGTTCTTCACTCAGACAAAAATGGGTGCCTTTTTTTCGGAAATCTCGAACTTTCTGTTTTAAAATTACATTTTTAAACGAGTCAATAAGCTTGAATGATAAAATCTAGGTAATTGACGAGTTCTCTGCTTTCCTATGATATAGATCAGTTGCCGAAACTCCACACCCGAATTACAACATTCGCTAGTAAGTTGAGTTTCAGTTTTCTCTGTTTAAGACTCCCAATAATCCAAGTAACTCCTACATACAACTATTGAAGGCGTCATCCGTGGTTTCTGCACAAATATTTCTGTTTCAACAAAGCTTGAAAGTTTTGGGAACAGATATCTACATTTAATTCTTGGTTTCGCTGTTTCAGAGTTACATTTTCTAATGGAGCCGAAAAGCTTGAGTGATATGAGAAGAATTTTGTTTGGCTCATTTTCTGAATTTGTCCCTTCGCCTCCATCCAAAAATCCTTTCGGTAAAGCAGTATATCTGAAAAAGAACCAACTTAATTTTTAAAATAATTTGCAATAGTTGCTTGCAGTAACGAATAAAACTATTCCGTTTTGCTGCAATGTAGATTGTGAGAAACTGAAAAATTATTTGTACAAATGTTTCTATTTCAATAAAGTTTTGAAAGTTTTGAAATCAAGATTCTAGCATTAATGCTTGGTGTTGAAAGGAAGCACATCGAAAAATAAATTAAAGGTGAGGACAGGAGATTTTTCGTAGTTTTTTTGTAGCTAGAGTATGCATTCTACCGTCACGGTGTACAACGCTTAATGTCACTCTGCGTACAGCTGTCGTCCTCGCCTTTATGTATGCAATCGGGCGTGCGCTTTCTCTTTGCCCGCGTGGCTCAGTCGGTAGCGGCGCCGCACCCTCAATCATCGTCCTCACAAGTTCAACTCCTCGAGGGGCATCTTTGAACGGAATTTCGAGAACATTATTTTTTTCATGTCCCCCCACCTTTAACAAAGTTATACTTTATTAAAATTGAATTTTCAATAACCCAGAACGTTGGTGTTCGTTAACCTGAAAAACATGAGTCTTTTTCTGAGAGATCAAATTTACATTACATTTATAAAAGATACAAATGAGCTTGAATGGTTCGAGAAATAGTTTCTTCGGCTAAAAAAATAAAAATATAGCCAAACAGCTTGATCTGTAAACTTGAAAATCTGCGCTCGAAAACGATTTCGGTAATAGTAATAATTCTGAAAAATTACCAATCCTTAATGATTTTCACTCATACTAACAGTGATCTATATAATAGCAACTATTTGATTCTGCTGTAATTGTGGTTGTTGAGAATACGGTACATAGCTTTTACAATTTTTTTCTGTTTCAGAAATGTTTGAAAGTTTTGAGATCAGATTTCTATCATGATATCTTGGCAGTTTCAGAACTAAATTTTCGAAGGGAGTCGTTAAGCTTGAGTGATTCAATTCTATCTGACATCTTATTTTCTAAATTCTACATTTTCTCAACTCGATATGCTTGCTTCACTTGTCATAAATCCCCCAATTACATCCCTTTTTCCCAGCTCCTCTCATTTTAATCGTCGAAAAAGAAGAAATTGGGATCCGAAAAGAAGACATGAGGGTGCGAAAATAATTGATAGGTTCAAAACGAAAAGAAAAAGGTAGATTTGGGTTTTCAATCTGTTGTTCAATCGCATGGATATAATGTATGGAAAAGAGAAAAAGCTAGGTTTATTCAGTTTTCAATGTGAAAATCGGAAAAATAGAAATTGTGTGGGAAGAGACAAAAAAATCGATGACTGATGATGATTTTTTGGGGTGTTTGATGGGTGGGATGGCACTAAAAGCGAGGGCGAAAAAATACTGATGGAGGTAAAGCAATTAAATACTCTGGGTGGAAAAAAAGAGAAAACATAATCGGGAAAGTTCATGAAGTTGTTGATTTCTTATCCTCCTCATCATCTTCGTCATTGGACATTGGAGCGTTCGGATCTGTAACACGACAGTTAGTGATAATACAATTGAGCATTTTTGAACTGATATTTTTTTAAGAGTTTGAAACAGTATTTTTCGTTGATAGAAATTGTTTTTTGAAATTAACAAAAAAGGAAATATTTTCTCTGATAGAATATAACCCGAACCATCAAATTTGAGCTTAATTATCTCGATTTCTGTGAAAGATATCAAAAATTGGTCAACTGATAAATTGTTTATCATAATATCACACATACTTTATCAGTTGACAAACTTTCAATATCTCTCATATGAATCGAGATAATTGAGCTTCAAGTTGTCGGCTGGGGTGGGCTTCTATTAGTGATAATACGGTAACAGAATTCGAATTTCTCAACTATATCATTCGTTGAAAATCCTTTTTAACAGCTTAAAAATATTACAAGTTTCGACTAATTAAAAAAAATCTTGCTTCTTCGTTTTTATTTCTGTTTCAACAAATTTTTATTAAACTTTGACGACAAGAAACGATATTGACATATTTTTAATCCCTTTTTGTTATAATTAATTTTGGGTTTTCAGAAAAAATCTTACCTGATCCCTCCAATCGAACTCTCTTGTGCTTTGTCCGCCGATTTTGGAACCATACTTTGACCTGAAAATAATAACAGTTTCGAATGGACTACGAGCTCTCTCAAACTAAAAAAAAGACCTAACTATAAGAATCTTGTTCGATAGTAAAGTGACGAATTCCGTTCTTCCTATTCATGTAGGCTGGCAACTATCGTAAATGCTCTAGCTACGTAGTGCTGGTATTTAAGCTCAATTATCTCGGTTCCTTTAAGAGATATAAAAAACTGCCAACTGAGGGAATGTTTGACATGAAATCCTAAAAATTTTATCAGTTGTAGAGATTTTCAATATCTCTCACAGGTATCGAGATAATGGAGCTTAAAATGTAAGTGTAGGGTGGCGAGCATTTACGGTATTTCCAAGCAGTCTTGGCTTAGTTCCAGCATTTTTCAAACATAATTTGCAAAATGACACAGAAACTATTTTAAGCAGGTTTTGAACACCAAAAATTTCGAAAAAAACTGTTTTTTGAGCCGCCAATCGCATTAAAAATACATATATTAACCTCATATCATATTTCATTTTCATGATTTAATTTTATAAAATTTCTATCGTAATCCGCAACTTAATTGAAGGTGGGGGGGGGGGGGATATGAAAAAGACGAGTTTCTCGAAATCCTGTTATCTTCAAAATAATCCAGCTAACTCCAAAAAACTCCAACTTCAAATTGATTTCCTTGCAATTTGCAATTCGCCAATTAGCCTTTTTCCTGGTAGTATACCAATCGACCATTATCAGCCGATCAATTTCATGTGATAATTCATTTCCTAGAAACATAAACAAAAATTTCTACCGTAATCGCCAATTTCTTTCTTCTTTCTTTTCAAAGATGTGAGATTAGTTGAAAGCTTCCAGAGAAAAGAGAAATTTAGCTTTTCTCAAGTTTCTTGATTGTGATATCTGTTACCAGTGATAACTTATCACTATCAATTAGAAGACTCTCAAGCCATAAACAGATCTAACTATTTTCCTGAACACTACACGCGCCTGTTGATCCCCCTGTCAGTCTGTCCTCTTTTGAAAAGCTTGAAAAAATATCTAATAAATTTCGACGAACCTGTTTAAACTATATTAAAACGCACCGAAGGCGCACCAGCTAGCTGTCACCTCATATTTCTCCTAAATTTCCCTCCCAAACGGTATCCATTCCTTCAAAACCCATTCTCACATATTTACCCATTTGTCTCTCCCTATTGTACTTGCTTCTTTTCTTTTGTGCTAACATTGAGACGGTGTCGAATAATAGCACTCGACCCATCGAGAATACATCCGCCGGGAAGTCACCACCTACAACAGGATTAGCAGTTCTCGATGCGATCCCCCCAGCCAATTGGTGTGCTAAGTACGCGATCAAACAAGAATCGACAAGAAGCAAAAGTAGATGAAGACTGTATTTGTATCGATGTATGTATGTGTACAAAGAGACAACGGATGACACGCTTTTGTGAAATTTAGGAGACAAAACGATTCCTTGTGTTTAATGATGGGCTCGTTGCTCACAGTGTGAAGCACTTTTCGAGTGGAAGGATTAAACGTTAGAATAATGGACATTGTGCTGTAACGTTTCGGTAAATAAATGTACAAGCATTTGAAACTGATTTTGTTGACCTACTTTAGCTTTGCGAAATGGACTACGGTAGTTTGAGTCATTTGAAAAGTAGAGCTTATTCTAGTTGCATAAGTTACCAAAAAGCTGCAAAATGGGTTACGGTAGTTTGATTTCAAATCAGAAATCTTTACTTGAAAAGTAGAAAACAATTTGATAGTTATATTATTCTGGTGCGAAAAATTCGAACTGGTCCCACAACGATAACCTACCGTAACCAAAAAATTTCGCGATTTTTTCTGTGATTTTTTCAAAAATTTAAGATCTATTCTAGTTTTTCAGCTATTTTCAAAGATTCTTCTTTGATTTTTCCGATATTTTTTTGTCTGAAATTGATGGAACGGTGTTTTATTACTGTAGTAATTTTCCTGCTTCTTCCGTCAATTTTATCACTATCAAAAAAAAATAACTGAAAATTCAACGAAAATCAGTGAGAATCGAGAAAATAAATCCAGAAAATGTACAAATTTAAGGTTACTGTAGTTGTTGTTACGTTGTCAAATTACGCACTGAATTTTTCGAAAAAGTTAACTTTTCGCCAACTGTGTGAGATAGGGCGGATTTTATGAGGTTCCTTTCCGCGAGGCCGTGCCACCAAAATTTCGAAAACTGCAAATTACTGTAGTTTCAAAACTATAGTTTCAATTGTTGTAACGATTGATAATGGACCGTCTATTGGCAGTTGCAACTAATTATCGGACTTTTTCTTTTCTATCTGCTTTCAGTGTTCACTTTCCAAACTAATCAAATCCGATTTAAGAACATATTCGATTTCAGAACAATTCTATGATTGGCATGGAAAAAAAGAACTAATTTTCTCGAATTTTGTTAATATGCGCTAGTCAAGGAGTTGAACTCGTGGACCCAAAACTGGAGATGTTGTGCCGCTACCAGCTGAACTACGGGGGCGCAAGCTGAGGCAGCTGAACGATTGTGTGCACACTAAACGCTGTACACCGTCACGTCAGAATGCATACCGTAACTCCGAAAAAACTCCGAAAAATTTCCTGTCTACCTTACTATAACACTAGTTAGTTACTTGCTAAAACTTTTACTATTACAATTTTTAAAATCATAAATGTCTTTAAAATCTTAAAAATCATAAATGTCTTAATTCAAATTTCCATTCAATCGGAAACATATGAAATTAACTTCAAACTAACATTTCCAGCAGTCAAACCTTGAAAACAAATGAAATACGATTTCAGAACGTTTTCAAAAAATCTGCTTGCTTTAATTTAACGATGGGAACATGAGAAAGACTGTTTTTCTCAAAATTTCGTTGTAATAAGTTTGAAAGAACCTCCGAAAAATACCTGTGTTTCTGTAAGACTTAATCTGGATGCCAACTGTTTCCTCTCGTTTCCAACTACATAATGATTTCCTTCGAATGCTTTTTCCAGTTGAATCAATTGAGACGCACTGAATGCTGTTCGAATTCGTTTGTTTTTTCGAAGAGGTTGAAGAAAGAGACCAGCTGTTACGTCGCCTGAATATAATCCATTTGGGAGTTATACCGAAGGAACTAATACGTTTTTTAAACAAAATTAAATTTCAAGTTACCTCAAAATTAAAGTTGTTAGGATACCCGTAAATTTCCAATAGAACGCCTACACTTTGCACCCAATTATCTCGGTTCTTATCAGAGATATCAAAAATGTGTCAACTGATGAAATATTGGTGCTGTTATGATAAAAAATTTATCAGTTAATGCTTTTGCCTTCTCTTTTAGAAGTTGAGATAATTGAGCTCAAAGTGCGAGCACGGAGAAAACGGATATGGAAATTATGTGAGTCAGAATTAAGTATATTTTCAATATCAGCTGCAGTTCTCATTTCAAAATTTAAATTAAAATTGATTAAATCGGAATAAAATTTAGCTAACTCTGGATATTAAAATATGGAAGATCCGCATAATTTTCGAGAAACTGAATATTGAAATTTGTATTCTACAGTGTATGAGTCTTATATGTCAGCCTGAGCGAAAAACTGAATTCAAGTTATAATTTTGTTGAAATGATGTCATTGAAACCGAAAAATAATTTCCTTGATTTCCAAAATGCTAATCGTCACCCTTCGTTCCCCTTGAACCTACCAAACTGAGCCGCTGTCGTGCTTTGCAACAATTCCAGCCACGGATGCTGCCATACACTTCCTGCACCCACATTCTGATCTCCAGAAGTTCCAGCTCCGATTCCAGAAATGAACGGATTTGAACAAGCCATTTGAACATGTGGGAGGAGGACATCAAAATAGGAGAGTGTCTGTGTTAGTGGTTCGTCTTTTACAGATTTCTCCATTTCCTCTTCTTCGTCGTCCAAATCGATCTGGAATTTAAATTGTTAGGTTCGAACACTGGATTCTGAGGAACAGTTCATAATTTAATTGATACGAATACATCAAGTGTGAAACCGATAAAAAATTTTACTGCTTCAAAATTTTTTTGAATGGTAGCATTTTACTTTAAAATTGTTAAGCTGTGCTGTAGACGATACGATAAATATAACAATTTCCCAAACTTCAACTTTGAGAAAATTTATCTCGGTTCCTCTGAAAGATATCAAAAAGTGGTCAACAGATAAAATATTTTTGATAATATGGTATAGACTTTATCAGTTGATCACTTTTTGATATCTTTCATAGGAAATGAGATAAATTGGCTCAAAGTTGACGGTTTCTATTAGAACAAATACGGTAATTCAATTAATACCAATAAGTCAAGTTTGAAATTGTTGCAAAAAAATTTTACTATTTCAAAACGTTTTGAAATAATAGAATTTGCCTTACTGTAAATGTATTATTCTCAAAAAAGTGCAATTTTGATTAATCTTACTAATACTTTAGAAACTCTGTGGGAAAATTTTACGAATTTTCGCTAAAAATGTGCCTAAAATTTCACTATTTCTGAAATTGGAAAAACCGATTGAATGAAATTTGACTTTATTGAACAAAATGCAGTGTTAAATTAAACAATTTAAGAAGAACAGTTCTGTTTTACTAATAACGGAAAGTCCAGATTTAAAGTTTTTTTCGATGAAGGAATTGTGCATATTTTACCATTTTCATAGTAATATTTCAATTCTGTTTTCAGATTCAACTGAGGAAAAAATGCCGAAAATGTCATTCTTGCAATCTATTAAATAAACAGTCTGAAACAGGAAAAAATCTCATCACTCACTTTTTTCAAATTATTCTGATCCTCAACATCCACTTCACACTCTGATTCCTTCTCAGAATCCACCAGCCGTTCCACCGAGAATTTCAACGTCATCTGATATTTAGATTTGAATAAAATAAGGGTTAGAATAGGTTTAGCTAAATGAGATGAACCGAAACCCACCTCAAATACGCGCCGCCCCTTTTTGCGCGAGAAGAAATGGGATGGGAGGAGTCTCGGCGTTTAATTGGGTACCGTAGTCGGAGAAGCTTGCCGAGAGAGTCTGAGGAATTGAGAGAGTTTAGAGAAGCATAGAAGGATGTTGTTGGTTTTGTAGAAAAGGTGTAAAGGCTATTTTTGATGGGCGAGAGAGATTAGTGGGTTGGCTCAACTTTAGAACCGTTTTGAATAAAACTGTAGAAGTTGAGGAACTGTCTTCTTGACGGGGGTATAAGTCTAAGCTATAGGCAGATACCGTAAAACCTTGAATAGAATGGTCCTTTAACTTTTAACTCTGCAGAGCACTGAGCCAATTTTTCTCGGTTCCTGTCAAAGTTATGAAATAGTTGTCAACAAGTAAAATGTTTGTCATAATATCACCAACATTTCATCAGTTAGCACATTTTTTAATATATTTTATAGGAATCAAGTGAATTGTGCTCACACTTGACAGTATGTTTCCTTCTGCTCTAGATCCACCGTTTATTAGTGAGGTTCCAGAAATTTTTGAATTTATTTCACAACCCTCATTTTAGAGTTCGTTTCCCTTAATCTGAAAATTGTATACAAACATCGAACGGTCAGTTTATTTTTTACTTATGCCAAAAATTTAATCACAGTTTCAGCAGCCCCATATAAGCTCCCGAGCAAAACATTTGATACTAACTAACAGCTAGTACCTCCGATAAAAAATATAAATGATGTACAACAAATATTGTAAAAAATCAACACTGATTTCAGTTTAAAAACCGGTTTCAGCAGCTCCGTGTATGTTCGTTCTCATTTTGAGCATTTATGCATCAGCTCTTCCGAAAAAAATTTTTTGGGAGAAGCTGTTTTTTTTTAAATTTTCTGTTTCAAATTGTTCTCAAAGTTTCCGATTTACAGTTTTCGCGGTAAGCACAATTCTTCAAAATGTAGGTTTTCAAGAATTCCATCACGTTTGTCATCAGATGCGTTTCGCTATGTTCATAAAAACTTAATATTTCTTGAAAGTATTTCTGTTACAGAAGTAACCTAATTTCGCAACAATTCTTAAAATTCCGTTTGTTTTTTCTTTATGTGTTTTGGTCCGAATATTCTTCTGGTAAACACATCGAATCTGTGGAAGAGAAACACCGGTGGGCATGGCCGAAGGTCCCACAACGACAACTACTGTAACCTAAAAGATTTCTATTTTCTCGGTTTCCAGTGCGTTTCGTCGAGTTTTTTGTTCGTTTTCCCCGAAAAGTCGGATATTGAAATATTTTTAGGTTACGGTAGCTCTGGAATCTTTGGCCACTGGCGTTTTTCTTCCACAACTCCGATTTTTTTTTGAAAAACTTGATGTTTCTTGAATATATGTGTTCTGTTTCAGAGCTAATGTAACTCTGCAGCAGTTTTTCGAAATTCCGTTCGCAATTCTTTCCTTTTTTTGTGTGTTTCGAATATTATGATTTTTTTTCCGGTGAAAAAAACAGAGAGTTTCTGCGAATTTAAATAATCCCTGTGTGGTTAAAAATTAAGATGTTTACAAAACTTTCTGTTTCAACTTGTCTGGAAATTTAGTAATTTTTTCAAACACTCGTTACTCACTAAACTGTTAATGGGCACATCTTCCAAATCTTTCAAAGCCGAAATCTAAAAAAAATCTAGACTCCATTTTTCTTAAAAATGTCAGTGGAATCGAAGCACTTAGAAAATAATATATTGTCTATTCAAAATAATCGC